GAGTCTATTACAGTCCTTGCTCTCTTTCTCGCAGGTATTTATGATTAAACACACTTGTATGCAGTACTAAACTGGAGTTTTACTTACAGCAATCCAGCAGGTAATTAAGGAACTCAAAACCTAAGCCTGCCTAGGACTTTCTGCACTTAATAAAATGACAAAGCTTTTTATAATGCTTTTTTAAAAATAAAGAAAAAGGCATGATCCTTCTTTTTTTATGTTGTCAGGAAAGCGGGAAGATGCTTGATCACAAGCATCACAATCTATGGAATACCAAACAAATTTAAGATGGGATTTCAATTCACAATGTTGCTTTAACAAGAAGCTGAATGCACCAATCTTATGATTGTCCAGAGCATACAAGAGAAGACAACATCTCCTTTTGAATGTTGAAACCATGGTTAGGATTCAAGCCCTAAGCCCCCCAAACTATTTCTAGGTGCTTGTACTGGGTTTTTATGACCATTCTACCATGTGGATTGGACATTTCATTAACATCACAGATCACAATATTTAGTAAGATATTAAATGTTTTCTCTCTTTTAAAAATAATAATAATCACATAATTTCTGATCCAATTGGATACCATGTCAACAAGCCAAATTTCAGAATATAGCTGGAAATGTTTTCTTTCCCAGCCCAAATACAGAAGTCAGCATGCTCAACTGAAAACCACCTGGCAGCTTCCGTAGCATTCGGCATTCCTACACACCCTCTGGATTACCTCATAACTTGGTAGTCTTTTCTTGGCACCAGAGTTCTGCTTCTGATACATGTTGGGCTTGGCATGCATGGGGATGCTGTCTATTCCCAAATAATGAATTGCGTCATTTGGAATACATATCCTCTTCCATTTGTAACTATTAGATTTGTGCATATTTAAACAGAGCTCAGCCAAAAGTGAGGGAGGCTGAGCCAAAAAGAGGGGAAATCTGTGGTTCGGAACAATTCTGTACAGCCACAAAAAAGGGGGGCAGAACTAAAAAAAATCATAGAAAACCTTTTTCAGAACAATGTTATTTCCTTGGAAATACCATTCTAAAATGTTCTAAGGGCAGAAATTTGGCACATCCCTCTTTATGACTCCACTGAGTCCGCATTAGAGTTTTAAAAAGATGAGCAGAAATAAGATCTTCACTCATAACCGGAAACATTGACATCAAGGCCCACGTCCTGGCAACAGAAATACCAAATTCTGCACTTGACTATGCTTTTGCCTTCTGGACTATGGAGCAAGAGCTCTTACAGCTCAGTTATTATTTTGCTGAGAATGATACACTGCAAAATAGAAGCAATTAAAATGATGAGCAGAGAAAGAGAGACCTGTAAATTTATATGTAAGTGCTGTAAAATGAATTACCACCATGCTTGGTACATATCAAATAAGTAAATAATAGAAGTGTTATAGGCCTTTTAAAAAAAACCAAACTGCTCAGCATTGTTTGTCTGTCAGTAGGAAAACTGCCCCATTTCTCAAATAAACTGCTGTTCCACTATGTCTTTACATGCAGTAGAGAAGTGATACTATCATTCAGTGATACTCATCTTCCAGCCACAATATAACAAAATTGTCCAGAGCTCCCTACCAGCATGGGCTTTGAAATACTGGATCCAGGAGCAGCAATACAGGGTCCTGTATCTTTTAGATAAGAGAACACTGGAAACCCAAGGAATTTTGTTACATCTGCTGTATCTGTAAATATATAAAACAGACTCTTCAGGGCAGGCAACATAACTGGTTAGCCTGCACCAGATTCTCAAAGAGGATCCAGAGGAGGGCAACCAAAATGGTCAAAGGCCTGGAAACGATGCCTTATGAGGAACGGCTAAGGGAGCTGGGCATGTTTAGCCTGGAGAAGAGGAGGTTAAGGGGTGATATGATAGCCATGTTCAAATATATAAAAGGATGTCACATAGAGGAGGGAGAAAGGTTGTTTTCTGCTGCTCCAGAGAAGCGGACACGGAGCAATGGATCCAAACTACAAGAAAGAAGATTCCACCTAAACATTAGGAAGAACTTCCTGACAGTAAGAGCTGTTCGACAGTGGAATTTGCTGCCAAGGAGTGTGGTGGAGTCTCCTTCTTTGGAGGTCTTTAAGCAGAGGCTTGACAACCATATGTCAGGAGTGCTCTGATGGTGTTTCCTGCTTGGCAGGGGGTTGGACTCGATGGCCCTTGTGGTCTCTTCCAGCTCTATGATTCTATGATTCTATGAAAGTAGCAGAGTGGACTCCTCTTCAATCTCCAAGGCTGCTTCCAATCTCGCTAGCACCACAGCTCTGAATTTGTATCCTAATCTAAGCATCCCACAAACTGAACGTATTCTCTTCCAAAGGCCGAGGAGACAAACTTTCAGCCACTTAGGAATATTCTCTTGTTAGGCACTGACCTCTCAGTTGCTAGCCAATACACCAATTCACAGCAATAAACTAATAACCCTACAACAGCAACTACAGGGGCAATATGTTAAAGGGGAAATTGTGTTGGTAACGTGACTGTACAAAGTTCTGCAATAGGTTTCAAAGAGCTAATGTGGTGTGGAATCTATGTATTGCTAAACAGGGTGCTATGATAATACTCTAGATGTAAAACACCATATTTATAGAGATATGCCTAGCACTTCGACTGTCTCCCTTAAGGCACCAGGTAAAAATATTTTGCTTTGCTATGCTTTCCCTGGTTGAATTTGTTACTAGTTTTAATGCTTTTACCATTTGCTTTACTATTGCTGGCCTTATTGTTGTTTTATTGTACTATGTCCTGATTTGTTTGATTTTATGTATTTATATATTTTTATATAAGCCACTCTAGATAATTTGAATGCTGGGACTGAAATCTAGTGAATAAAATAGTAAGTAAAAATATACAAATGTAATCAATAAAGTTCAATTAAGCCATGCTTGCCACTCAGGTCTCTCTTATATTATACCGGTTCTTTAGGGACAACCATGCCTTAGATTATACTACACAATCATTGTGTTAATAAAATAATATGAAACAAAGCCATTGACATTTATCTTGCATATGGAGAGATGATGGGTGATCATAAGTTACTGCAAATGCATAGTGACTTTGATCTTGCTGAAGCAAAGGGAAGCGCGAATCCCATTTTTGCATGCATTTTACATGCACTTTAAATGCATTTGTATGCATTTTAAAACATGAAAAAGTGACCTGTCAAGGTCAGTTTCACAAGCTGAACATTTTATCATAATGTGCCCAAAGCTCTGAGATTTCCTAGAGAAATGTAGCCTTCTGTAAGCTTGTGCATTCGGGGAGTGGGGGGACAGATTCACACAAAATTAGCTAAAAGGGTGGGAAAATAGTTTTATGAAAAAGCTTATCAGAATAAAGAGAGGACCCCAGTGGGGCAATTCTTGGAGATCATTGTGAGTGTGGTCATAAATTGCTTGATTCTTATAGGGATTCCTTGTAGGATAGGATTGCCCATTTTACCAATACAAGAAACATTGCCCTTGTTTTAATGGGGTTCACTGATTCTTGGTGACATCAGCAAATAACACCAAGTCTGAGATGACTGGCTGACCAGAATCACTCAAAGCAAAATGCAAGAGAGGGGAAAATGGGTTGGGAAATGTTTTTCAGTCAATGGTGCACTTCATGATTTTTGCATGGTACAGTCTCAGCATCTAGAGTTAAAGACAGACAGGAAAGATGCAGGAAGAGGACTTTTTCTCAAAATTATGGAAGGAAAAACTTCTAGTACTGTATAAGGCTTGGCAGTGCTGAGGCAGATGGAGCAGCAGTCTGACTCAGCACAAGCAGCTCCTGATATCCACAGATGAGTGACATGAGCTCCCACTGTCACTGTCTGACAGGCTGAGGCAGATGAAAGGGGCATCATGCTAACCCTTCTTGTATTTGCTTGTTGTTCTGCAGTTTGGTATGGATGGGCAGTTACTTCATGTGTGGGAAGCAGCACTGAAACTGACACAAATAATCTCTGGGCATGATCCTTATCCAGGCTGGAGTACAGACAGGTGACATCGGGTTTAACTGATACTCTGTTTTCCCTCCAACACCATGCATTAATATAATAACAAACAAGGGAAGCATCACAGCTATCACGTGACATCTGAAATACAACAAACACAAAATTGGAGAAAGTGTTTCCAGAGATATTTCAAAAAACTATACACCCAAGGGCCGCAAGACGAAGTTGAGATTAAACAATTTTTGGCAAAAAATGGACTATCTAAATTGTCACAAGAAAATAGGACAATCCTGAACTCTAAAATAACACGACAGGAGATTGAACAAGCCATCCAGAACATGCAACTCGGCAAATCTCCAGGGCCAGATGGGCTGACCTCCAAGTATTATAAGACATTAAAAGACTATTTGATACAACCTTTGATGGAGGTCAGCAATGAAATTATGGAGGGAAGAGGGCACCGGAGTCGTGGAAGGAAGCGTTTATCACATTAATACCAAAGTCGGAAGCTGAAAAGACACAACTTAAGAACTACCGTCCCATCTCCCTTTTAAATGTGGATTACAAAATATTTGCAGACATTTTGGCAAGTAGATTTAAAAAAGTTTTAAATGAAGTAATTCATAAGGACCAGGCCGGCTTTCTCCCAGGTAGACATCTGTTTGCAAATACAAGGAACATTATTGACATTTTGGAACTTTTGCAAACAGATATAAATACAAAAGCAGTTTTAATTTTTATAGATGCGGAGAAGGCCTTTGACAATATCTCCTGGAAATTTATGATGGGAAACTTAAAAGAGATGGGAGTGGGACGGGGTTTTGAGAATGGGATTGAGGCGATATATTCAGAACAGAAAGCTAAATTGATAGTTAATAATGTGGTTACAGAAGAGTTCAAAATTGAAAAAGGGACACGACAAGGTTGCCCTATCTCCCCTTTGTTATTCATTTCGGTTCTGGAAGTGCTATTGAACATAATTAGAGGGGATCGGTTGGTGGAAGGAATCCAGGTCGGTCAGAAACAATATAAATTAAAAGCCTTCGCAGATGACCTGGTTTTGACCCTGCAGAAGCCAGAGCCCAGTACGAAAAGAGTATTACAACTGATTAATGACTTTGGTCGGGTGGCTGGATTTAAATTAAATAAACAGAAAACCAAGGTTTTGGGGAAAAATTTGACAGATACAGAGTCAGAACGGTTTCAGAATGAGACGGAACTTAATGTGGTTAAAAAAGTAAAATACCTAGGGGTAAATATAACAGCAAAAAATCTAAGTCTATTTAAGGACAACTATGAAAAATGCTGGACAGAAATTAAGAGAGACTTAGATAGTTGGTCAAAATTGAAACTTTCTTTGTTAGGCCGAATTGCTGCTATTAAGATGAATGTATTGCCAAGGATGTTGTTTTTATTTCAAACACTTCAGGTTTTGGACAAAACGGAGTGCTTTCAGAAGTGGCAGAGAGATATTTCTAAGTTTGTCTGGCAGGGCAAAAAGCCCAGAATTAAGTTTAAGATATTAACTGATGCAAAACAAAGAGGGGGCTTTGCCCTGCCAGACTTAAAGTTGTATTATGAAGCCGCAGCGTTCTGCTGGCTAAAAGATTGGCTACTCCTTGAAGACACTGATGTGTTGGACCTGGAAGGGTTTAATAATGTTTTTGGATGGCATGCATATTTATGGTATGACAAGGTTAAAGCAAATAAGGCCTTTAAGAACCATATTGTCAGAAAATCACTGTTTAATGTCTGGACAAAATATAAAGACTTGCTGGAAAATAAAACTCCCAGGTGGCTTTCACCACTAGAAGCTAAGGCCCGAAAAAGACCCAATATGGAGGCTAAATGGCCAAAATACTGGGAAATACTAGAAAAGGATGGAGACAATTGGAAATTGCAGAGTTTGGAGAAAATGAAAGACAAAGTGCGAGATTGGTTACATTACGCTCAGATTAAAGAAGTTTTTAAAAATGATAAGAAATTAGGGTTCCAGGTGGAGAAATCGAAACTAGAAACAGAATTGTTAGAACCAAAGATTAAGGTACTATCAAGGATGTATAACTTGCTGTTAGAATGGAATACACAAGATGAAACGGTTAAATCGGCTATGATAAGGTGGGCACAGGACATTGGGTATAATATTATGTTTGAGGACTGGGAAAGGTTGTGGAGTAATGGATTGAAATTTACCGCATGTAACGCTTTGAAAGAGAATGTAATGAAAATGATTTATAGATGGTATATGACCCCAGTCAAACTTGCAAAAATTTACCACCTGTCTGACAATAAGTGTTGGAAATGCAAAGAGTGTGAGGGAACGTTTTCCACCTCTGGTGGACTTGCCCTAAAGTGAAGGCGTTCTGGGAAATGATTTATAATGAATTGAAAAAGGTATTTAAATATACCTTCACTAAGAAACCAGAGGCTTTCCTTTTGGGTATTGTCGGCCAAGGGGTGGCAAAGAGGGACCAGACATTTTTATGTATGCAACAACAGCAGCAAGGATACTTCTCGCAAAATACTGGAAAACTCAAGATCTACCCACACTGGAAGAATGGCAGATGCAACTGATAGACTACATGGAACTGGCTGAAATGACCGGCAGAATTCGTGACCTGGGAGAAGAGAGGATAGAGGAGGATTGGAAGAAATTTAAGAATTATCTACAAAAACATTGTAATTTGAGTGAATGCTAAATAAGATGCTAGACTAAAACAACTGAGCACCACTAAATTTAGAATTTTTTCAAGAAAACAAGTAAGATTGTGAAAATTTAACTCCTTTCGAGAATTACAAGATTATGAAATATAGAAGGGATATAAGAATTTAAATAAGATGATAAATTGCTGATAAAATGTTATAACGATGAAAGTGGGAGCGGGAGATGTGAGGAAGTCCAAAGAAAATGTGAAACTATGTTAAGACAAATGTTATATTGTTTATTTTTATTGTAAAACCCAATAAATTGCTTTAAAAAAAAAAAAAACAAACACAAAATTGGGGGCAGAGACACGAAAACAGACTTGAGCATCATACAAATAGACCAGTTTTTTTCAAAAATGCAAAACCACATCTATGGCCATCTATGACAACATGTGTGTCCCTCACCTTTGTGGTATCCTAAATGTATTATTTATTTCATTGTACACAGACACACAGACACTCAGCTGGCTGACGAACTACTGATGCCTGACACCACTCCTATTGAGAGTGGCTGTCATACTCACTGCTGGTCCAGGTGAGGTGCTGGAGAAAGTGGTAAAAAATTGTGCTGATCAACTAGCAGGGGTCCTGAGAAGGATTTCTGACATCTCCCTGCAGACTGCTTTGTGTACCATCATGTTTGAAAGCAGCCACCATTGTCCCAGTCCCAAAGAAAACAGCAATTAACTGCCTAAATGACTACAGACCCATTGCATTAACATCTGTAGTGATGAAATGCTTTGAGAGATTGGTTCTTCAACACCTTAGGACATGTTTTCCACCGGATTTCGATGAACACCAGTTCACTTATAGGAGAAATAGGTCAACAGATGATGCCATAGCCACAGCTTTTCACCTTGCAGTGAGTCATCAGGAGAGACCGGGGAATTATGTCAGAATGCTGTTTATTGATTATAGCTCGGCTTTTAATACCATCCTTCCGGACACTTATAAAAAAGCTGATGGACCTGGACCTTTCCCCTACCATCTGTGGTTGGATTAAAGACTTTCTGAGGGATCACACACAAATAGTGAGGATTGGGCCTGTTACATCTACCTCTCTGAAACTCAGCACTGGCACCCCACAGGGATGTGTGCTGAGTCCCTACCTGTACTCGTTTTATACATATGACTTTTTTTCATCTGATCCATCCACTGCAGTTATTAAGTTTGCAGATGATACCACCATAATGGGTCTAATTACAGGTAGAGATGAATCAGCGTATAGGGAGGAGGTTCAAGAAGTCTTGACATGGTGCCTAGAGAACAACTTGCACCTAAATTTCAGCAAGACAAAGGAGATGGTGTTGGACTTTTGGAGGAAGAGAGAGGAACTAGCCCCGTTGTATATCGGGGGTGGGGCTGTGTGGAGAGAGTCTCTTACTTTAAATTCCTGGGAGTTTACCTTAGTGAAGACCTCACTTGGAAATTCAATACAACCCAGGTGGTTAGGGAGGCCCAACAGAGTCTCCATTTCCTCAGGGTCTTGCGAAAGAACAATGTCAAACAAAAATTGATGATCTCCTTCTACCGGGCCACAACAGAAAGTGTCCTTTCATACTGTATAACAGTGTGGTACGCTGGTTTGACAGCCATGGACAAGAAGTCCCTACAGAGGGTGGCGAATACAGCACATGACATCATGGTCTGTCCCCGGAGTTCGCTAGATGACATCGCAGGAGACTGCTGCCTCAGGAGAGAGAGGAAAATTCTTAGGGATGACTCACACCCTGGCCAGCACTTCTTTAATCTCCTACCTTTGGGCAGGAGATACAGAAGTATAGTCAGCCGCACCAACAGGTTAAAGAAAAGTTTTCATCTGTGTGCTGTTGGGCTGCTGAATGGAAAAAAATAGTGGAACAATTGACTTCCGACAAGCACACAGAGCGCGAACAAGACTGAGTGTATGGGGGGGGGGGGCTCATTTAATTTCACTACACACAGGTGGTGTAGTGACAATAAAGGTTTATTTTATTTTATTTTATTTTATTTATTGTTGTTGTTGTTGTTACCTCTCTGGAGGACAGCTTTCCTGGGGCAGCAGGCAGCTCAGATGGACACTGCATCTCCTTCTTATCTAACAATGCTGCTTCTGCAAATGTTACAAGATTTGGAAACGCCCCAAATACAATGATAATAAAATGAGTTATGGTGCCATTTTGTGATCAGGTGAGGAGCTGGGGGTATATGTGTATTGGGACATGGGAATTAACAACATAATTGCTCATGGTTTGTGTGGGAGAAAGCCCTTTTTGTCATCTATTTTTTTATATGCTTGGGAGGGAAGCTGCATGCCTGCCAGCCATATGGTTGCGCCCTGCAGGTGGCATGTGTGCAGGGAAAGGGGAGGCCACCAGCAAAGCCACGCAGCTCCCCCACACGCTGGGGTGCTCCTGAGAGGCTGGCGCCCTGGTGCTATACACCGCTAAGCCCAATGGGAAAGATGGCTCTGGCTGGACCTCCTTTTGCAGCGGGGAAGTGGGGGTAGTGGCCAATAATAGAAAGCAAATGTGAAGCAGCAGAATAGAAACCAAACCCACTGGCAAGATTCTCAGGAAACACATAGCAAAAAATCCTTTTTTTGAGAAACAGAAGCTTAGGTGTTATTGTTTTCATTGGTTGAAGCTGAAAGAAAGGTACAAGGGTTTTCTGTACAAGGTTGCTAGAAAGAAAAAACAAAGAAAGGAAGCTGTTTCTATTTGTTTAGCTACTGATATCACCAACAACTTCAAGAAGCAAAAGACAGCTAGTCAGCCCCGGACACATATTGAAGATGCTATTTGATCAGACATCATGCAAGTAGCACCCAATGTGTCTGCCGCAAAAGAGACAGTAAATACTGAGGTACACGCAGGTGATGAGAACCTCCCAACTGAAAATACTGAAGCAGCTGCTAGGACTGTAGAACTTAAATGACAGCAAAACTACATATCTAAAAACTACATATCTAAAGCAAATCCTCTCTCAGATGTGTTAAAATTTGAGCTGCTCAAACAATGCTGGACCCTGACAAAAAGATATGACTTTAAGAGCATTTCACCATTTTTGGCTTTCTATATACTCTTCTTGGGTAACATACTGTATGTCATTACTGGTTTTTATTTCCACAGCTGATTGTACGAGCGTTACAGGGCACATTCACTACCTAGGTCTGTACCAAGTACAAAGAGAGCACTCACAAAATGGATGGCAATTCACATGAAGAAGTTATCCTTTCTGTCAAACAGGAAAAAGGTGTCAATTGAACAGTGACTTAATAAGTCATATACAAGAGCTATGAAGGAAAACCAGCAAGTTGTTAACCCTTGTGTACAGTGTGTCACGTGACCTTACTATCTGTGGTAAGACCAGTAACACAGGTAACATGATGGACCTTTTAGAGCTTTGTACTCAGGCAGGGGACAAAACGTTTTAGAATTCCAGCAATGAGTGAAGCTTGATTGGTGTGTATTTGTCAAGTGTCCATAAAGAAAAGCTGAAGCCATATAAAAGACGTTATTGACCACTTTGGCCAAGATGCTAGAAGACTCCAGTTTTTGATTAAAGCGTTTTGTATTATATGCAGCACAGCCCAGGCAGATTCTGTGTAAAAGGTGTGAAATTCAACCTTAGGGGCTTTTAATTTGGTTTCGAGTCCTACGGTATTGTTGTTCAACTGACAAATTGAGGCTGTATGTGTTTCTAGCGCCTTTCTCTGTGGTTGTTTTAGGGACATATAAAGCAATTTGCTAGAAGTTACTTCTGAAATGTATAATCCCAAGCGATACAGTAAATCACCAACAGGCACAACCCACCACTGATTCCTGCTGCTTCCATTCTGCTGGTGTGTGGAGTTTGGTCATATAAAGTCTGCAAACAGCCAAGTCAACAACCTGTTGCTACAAGTCTTAGAATTTGCTCCCCACAGAGAATTATTTCTGCAGACACTCCTATAGCCCAACACTGCTTATTTTGATTGGCAGCTTTCTACAGCCTCCGGCAGAATATTTCCCCTTTAACTGTAGATGCCAGGCTCTGGACCTAAGCTGTCTGTATCGGAACCAGCCTCCCCCAACCTGCTGCCCTCCAGATGTTTTGAACTATAATTCCCACCAGCTCTAGTCAGCATTTCCAAGCCGGTTGGGTCTGATGGAAGCTGTAGTTTGAAACATCTGCATGGCACCAGG